CCCCAAAACCCCAAAACCCCAAAACCCCAAAACCCCAAAACCCCGTCTGGTCAATTTTTATTTGAATTACTTTGAACTAATTTTAATTTTCTTAAAATTTTAGTTCATAATCTCAAAATTTCTTGAATATTTGTTTATCCTCATTCTCATTTCTCGGTACTATTAAACAAATGCTTTTGAGTAGATGTGTTATATTCTAATGTAGAATTTGCTCTTAGATCCTTTTCTTGCGTTGTTTGGCAAGTCTCGTAAGTCTTTTCATGTAATTTAAAGATATGAGGGGTTAAATTTAGCCCCAAATTTCTTAAATAACCTACTAAATTTTTCAAAATTGGGGATAACATAACTATAGAACTTTGAAAAGAGATTATTGAAAATTTGGGCAGCATTCCATGAAAAATAATATTTACATAAAGAACATAATTCATGTGCCACTTCAGAACTTAGAAAAATATGAATAATGCTGATACGCATTTTGATAATCAAGGATCTCCAAATCTTGATTTAAATGAGCTTATGGAATTCACTACAGAAGAAATCGATGGACAGTGAGTTCTTTGTTAAAATATCTCTTATTAGCAATAGTTATCGACTCCAAGATCTAATAAATCCTCTATAGTGATGTATTCAGACAGCAAAATGTCACTCTGGTCAATCCAGAGACTGAAGAAGAATTGACGATGATACTAGTGGTATATTCCATGCATAAATTTACAGATCCATACAGCCGTTGATCAAAGAGATAACAAAGTTGTAGAGGTATACGAAGGGGATTGACCAGAAGTAGTAGGAAGCTCTAATGGAAAGGTGACTCATAAAATAGAATATGTGAAAGAAACTCAAGAGGCAAAGATTGATACTACCAGTAGAATAGAGATGAATATGACAAAGGAAAAGAGTCGAAAGGGTTTCACTGGGAAGGATTTTGTTAAGGCTGTTGAGCAGTTTGTTATTCAAATTCAGCCCTATGTTTCTAGTTACACTATTGATTTCGAAGAAGATGATTCTTGACTCGATGGATGTTTCTTGAGTATTAGAAATACAATACATCTTAATACTTTTTCTATAATGCCTTCTTCGGTTAGAGATTCAGAAGCCCCAAGGCCTTCTTTGAATTCACTTATTGACAATCCTCAAAGACAGAATAATTATCTTAGGAAGCTATTTGACAAATATAAAGCAAATATTACTACAGAACCTTCAAGAATTCTTAGTAGAATCCAAAGAGCTTGTGATGTACTCTTCCTAGATAATGAAGATGAGTGGGAGGAAGATAGTTTCTTCTCACCTATGAAACTCGCTGCTCTGATCTGCTAAAATATCAAAAGAGCTTTAATTCATTTGCGCTGTGACATAATTATCTAATTCACAAAATTTATGGTTCATTCCATATTTAATCATCCTAGAGGGGTTTTGGGGTTTTGGGGTTTTGGGGTTTTGGGG